TACCATGACAACTACTTTAGATACTTGGGTACAATGGTTTTGTCAGCAAAGGATACAGTGGTTTTGTCAGCAAGGCGAGGGTTTCTGCAATGCATGAATTTTCTATTTATTTTGTAAACGTTCCTCCAACATAGCTGCATGGCATTATACGTTAAATGCGACCCAAGAATAGATTCTTCTCCTTATATTAATGACTTAGACAAAATTTCGGGAGAAAACCAACTCAAGATTGGACAGTTTTCCTCTTATATTTTGCAGACTAATGGCCGTCCTTCTAAAACTTATTTCACCATTAATTTAAAAAGGTTATCGGTTGAACACCACAAAGGTGACCCAATATGTTCACGCAAATTCTGGAGTGGATTGCATCATGCAGTGTGTGGTTCAAGATAAATCATGCAGATCTGTTAACTTCAGAACAACGCCAACAGGTGGAGGGAAAGAAAATTGTGAGCTACTCAAAACTATTGATTCAGACGAACCGACGGAGAGTTTAAAAAACGATGAAAATTTTGACTATTACGTGCTTCTTCAGCCCGATAGATTAAGTAGTGTCAGGCGTCATTTTTGTATAGGACGAACTTTCACTTCCAAGCTAGCTAAAATGCATGGACCGAAAGATCTTCTTATCTACTAGCTTATTCAGTCATTGCTAAACGTTTAATCATCGATAAATTGTATTGAAAACAAATTATATAGAAGACATTTGGTCAACTAGTAACAGTATGTATGGATTTATGCTCAGCGATATAAATCATATACGTATATCATAATTGACCATTCGTAGCTCATTACTCTTTGTCGACAAGCGACATTTTGACGATTTGACGATTCAATTGTTTATAACGTAAATATCTCAGCGCGTATTCTCCACCCTTTAAAACAAAGAATACCATTGAAATCCTAATAAAATAACCTTTTCAACGGGGAGTCGAATGCCGTCAAAACATTACACAAAACGAAACAATCATATATTTACTCACCGCTTGGCCAAATATGCTACATTTTGTTTCCATAAAAGGTTAAGTATCTTGTGAAATCTTCTGAACTCGTCGCAAGACAATATGAGTGAAATATTTTTTGTCTTCAAGCGCTTTTATGTCCAAAATTACGTTTGAATACGGCGACTAGAAATGTTTATTTTAAATTTTTTTAAATATCGGGCAACGTCGGGTTTTTAATCGCACGCGCGTGCGTGCCACACGATAAAATTGGCGAATAAGGAGTACACACGTAAAAACGCGCAAGTTGTCACAGGTCTGCAAACAAGTTGTTACAAATCTGTTCACAAGTTGTCAACAAGTTGTGTTCGCACTGCTTGTTCCCAGTTGTTGTAACAAGTTTGGAACCAGCTGTTAACAACTTGTAACAAGCTTGATGGCATTATCAGACTTGTTTAAAGTTGTTCTAACAAGTCTGATACAGTCATGATATAGCAAGCATGTTATAAGGTTGATGACACAAGGTTGTAACAATATTGTTATATCATGACTGTATCGGACTTGTTGGAACAACCTTGTAACAAGCCTGATAATATCAACAAGGTTGTTATGAATTGTTAACAGCTTGTTCCAAACTTGTTGACAACTTGGGACAAGCAGTGCGAGCATAACTTGTTGACAGCTTGTTGGCAGACTTGCTACAAAATGAGAGATTTTAACGCGTGTACCCGTTGCCCGACGCACGTGCAAATCACGCTGCAGATGTAATTTGACCTCCAGAAATGGTAACAATTTCCGCACGTAATACAAATATACTGAAAATATGCAAATTTCGCAAGGCTATATTTTCTGTATTTTACAACATTTCGCAACCAAATTTTGCCATTTTACTAATTTCATTATGTTCATTTTAACTGTTGTGCTTGGTCTCCTTCTCTTTACTTAGATTAAAATTTAGTCAAACATGCAAGTTGTAATAACTGGGCTGAGTTCAACCCCTGACTTGAAAGTACTCCATGTAATCGAGCCCTGCGATTTAAGTAAAAAAAGGAGTTTTTAAATTAAGGTGGCTCGCTACAGTTTATAGAAATGTTGAAAATGCGTAAACTAGATCACCTTTTTGAAGAGATGATGCTCTTTACAAATCGAAATTTGCATATTACATATACAACGACAATCAAACAGTCGAAAGTTGGTCAGAAAAGTGACGTCACCACTGTTGCTATGGCAACAATGACGATTCAAGATGGCCGATATTTTGGCTTTGAACGCATTTTACTTTAAAAAAAGGTCGGTTAACCTTTTTTTTTGTTTCAGAAAACATTTTGTTATAGTACAATACACTATCTGACCAATTTTAAAAAATTCTGTAATGCCAAATTTTTAAAAAATTTATAAACATGGTTTTTCGAAATAATTTTTTTTTGCATTGCAGAATTTTTTAAAATTGGTCAGATAGTGCATTGCACTATAAGAAAATGTTTTCTGAAATAAAAAATGGGGGTAACCGACCTTTTTTTTAAAGTAAAATGCGTTCAAAGCCAAAATATTGGCCATCTTGAATCGTCATTGTTGCCATAGCAACAGCGGTGACGTCACTTTTCTGACCAATTTTCGACTGTTTGATTGTCCCTGTAAATATAATATACAAATTTCGATTTGTAAAGAGCATCATCTCTTCAAAAAGGTGATCTAGTTTACGCATTTTCAACATGTCTATAAACTGTAGCGAGCCACCTTAAGTGGTGCGATTAAGGCGATTTAAGAAAAAATGGAGTTTTTGAAGTCATGCGATTTAAAGAGATTTAAGACAAAAGTGACTTTTTAAGTGATGTATGTGATTTTAAAAAATTTAGATAAAGCAATTTACATAATTTTTTATATAATTATACAGTAACCATGAATACACAATATTTGGAAGTCTAGTTGATAAAATTTAGTTATACTTATTAAGCCCATACTATGTGGCAGATGTTAAATGTTAAATGGCAAATACCATTTTCAAATTGCACATTCCCAATTAATTGGTGATCCTTTTCAAGTAATATTAACGATAGGCAATGTAATAGCGGAATCAAATTATGTCCAGTCCTTTTAATAAGTAACTAAAATTTGATCGGAGCAACCTCAGTGGAACCACATAAGCTCATGATTTATTACTCATGTTCCAAAACATCATTAGGGTTCCTAACTACCTTATTTATAATGTTCGATTTTAGGAGCTCCTAAAATAGAACATTATAAATAAGGTAGTTAGGAACCCTAATTATGTTTTGGAACATGAGTAATAAATCATGAGCTTTTCTCACGCTGCAATTTTTGGGGTACTGGCTTTTCTAGATCTTTGATTGTATCAGTGAATATGGCATTTGTATTACTATTACTGTGAGATTTGTCATTATAAATTAATTTACAGTTAAATATTTGAAAATTGTTTTCACATCACTTCGATTTTTCACATCATTTTCCAAAAAGTACCCCAAAAATGGCGAATTTGGCCTTCGTGAGATAGGCTAATTGATATTAATTAAATAATTTCCTTGATCGTGCAGTACAAAAATGCAATATATTTTCCCCGAGCCAACGGCGCGGAGCGCCGTTCAGGGCGTTAGCCTGGCGCGGGGGTACTAATTCCGCCCTGCTATTTACACCTGGGGAAAGGGAAGATTAGCGAAGTCTAAAGTTCATCAATGATCGCGGGCGTGGGTGATCAACCGTGGGTGGTCATCCTTACTGATCTCAAAAATATGGCTGTTTGCCAGGAGTGGGATAAGCAATATTTCAATCACAGAGTAGATACATATATGTGTTTCAATTTTCAAAAGTATATATTTGGAAAATCACGTTTATGTTGTTGGAAAATCAATGAGGAATTCGTGAAATGTAGGAAATAAGAATTCGTGAAATGTAGGGCAAGTTTTCCTGGAATGTTTCTGTTTATGAATTTTGTTGCTTTAATTTATTGCGTAAAACATGCACTGCTTTCCTTTTCAATGACAATGAGCAGTATTAAAGATTGCTAAATTTCCCTGTTTAATTTAAGAAAAAACGGTATGAAAACCTAACTGAATGTGGATAATGCGGATAATTTCAAACGCAAATCCCAGCCGCAAATTTTTCGAAAATTTTAAATTTTATAGGATTTCATTGAAATAGATACAAAAAATTAAAAAACCAGGTGCCCCCAAGGCTTTATTTGCGACCGTAATTTTCGTGTTGAAATAGGCGTTCTGATTTGCTTAGCGCCAAAAGGTAAACAAATGCTCTGATTGGTCAACAACAAAATTCACCCTTGTTACCCAGTTGTACAAGGAACATTTTGTTTGCATGAGAATTGTATGCTGAGGGACTACTATCGTCATTACCTGACGTCAATTAGGATGGTATATATTTATTCTTAATTAAGAAATACTTTTTGCAAATTTTCGTTAGTTAGATTGCATAAATTCTGTTGACTTTTGTAAATAATTTGACTTTGCTCAGAACGTAAGACTGCATTTCGAATTCTATCTTCCCTTTAAACGTAGAAAACTCTTCTGAAATAGTCATGCAAAGACCGCAGAAGTATTTCGAAAGTGGAGGGGGAAAATCGATTTATTCGCGTTTTAGACATATCAAAAAGCGCTCAAAATGAACAACTAACCTTTAGACCTTAATATAAAACAGGTATTGGTTGGTGAATTTATGTTTTAAAGTTTGTTTTTTTAGTACGTTAAAGAGCAAAGTCCACTTCGGCACATTCAACTAGTGTCGTTTTTATCAAAACAAACATGATACCTTTCAACATTTCGCTGAGGATATTACAACTACTACCATCGCTGTGTTGTCCTAAAACTCAAAACTGATCATTAATTTACTCTCGCTAAGGCCTTTTCTTCCATACATGCTCCCATTTAAGTGTGCCTGAATAAGCTGCATGCATAAGATGATAAGAGCTAGTTGTAAGCCCCATTGTTTCCTGCTGACCAAGTTCCAGGCTAGAGACTTGTGGCCCAACTTTTATACCAAAAGCAACATTGAGTGTATTTCATATCTTTTAAGGTTATTTTTAAGCTTGGAATGACTGGTCATGGAGAGTACTTCGAGTTGAACAACATTCTTTCTGGGCTAAATACAACAAAGACAGAATTTGTGCATGGTTGCATTGTAGCTGGGTGTGATTATCTAAGTAATGATAGAGGAGTAGGTATCCACAGGGCATTTTCATTTGTAAAATCTGGGAAACTGTTCGAGGAACTGAAGAAAAAACACTCACCTGCGAATTATGAAGATCTCTTTCAAATGGCACTGGCAGTCTTCCAGCACCAGTCAGTATTTAGCCCAACATTGTTGAGATCATCATAGCCCTTCATCCAGGAGATGAAGTTAAACATTTTTGTGGACTGTATCCATTTTAAATTCATATTAAAGCATTACAGTAGTAGCATTCTAATTTTAATGTCATTCATTTACAATCCTGTGTTTAATTTAGTTGTTGTTAGGCCTTTAAGCTGCAATGTACCCTACTTTGTTGTATAGTTACTCTGTCTGATACCAGACATATCTATTTTCAAAGATGGGTGCCAGTAATCATTGTGCCACATAACAGTAAATACAAATCATGCAATATATTATCTAAAGAAACTGTTATCCAATATATATCATTTCTTTAACTGAATGTCAATATAGTGTTCTGGACAAAGAGTTTGCCAAAGAGATGGCTGCTGGAAATATTTGCATGAAGAGTAGAAATAAGGAAAATGATTTTCCCTATCTTCAATCTGTAAGTTTGGAGAAAATTGTGTAAATCTTTTGTTATAGAAAATGTCATTAAGTTAATATTATTTCATGAGTTCTATCCTGCTTTTAAACTAATGTAGCAAAGTTGTACTGTAGTCCATATGACGAGCAGCTAATTAGCTTCAAATTTTTTTGAGCAATTTGCATAAGTATTTCAATTGGTGAGATAGCACAACTTCAATTAACAATGAAACTAATTTTGATTTGGGAAGAAATGTGAAATTCCTAGGAAGAAACAGTTCTTCCCTTGGGGCAATGATATTCTTTTGCTAAATTTCCTCTGCTACAGCTTATTATAATTGAGATTGTCTTATTCTTTAGATATCAGCACCAGGCACATCTGCACCAGAAGTATCTGTGCCAGACGTACCTAAAAAAGGAATCAGTGCATTAACCATTGTGGATGTTGACACTTCATGGTTCACTTGGACTATCCCATGTTTTCCTGTCATGTCAGTTGACTTTGTCAGAGTGAAAGCATCTATTAATGGTACCCATGTGGATTGTTTAATAAAAAACGATGCAAATATTCACCTTGGCGAATTGTGTTGTACATCATATTGTACAATTTCTATTGAAAAGAAGGAGTACACTGTTTTGTGGAATTCACACAACCCGAAGTTGGCCGTGCACAGGTTTTACATAATAGTATTAATATTGAAAGTGATGACGAAAGCAATATGAATGTCCAGCATTCACTGCCATTCAAAGTTCTGAGTACCTGCAAATCTGTAGAGCGACAGAGTATACTGGAGGAAGCTTACAACTACCTGAATGAATATAATCGGCCAGTTTTTGTTCAGCTTGAAAGGGAACCAGACAATGCTCACGAAAAAAAATGCTATTGCTGTTTTTGTAATGACCGATAATGATTTTTATAAAGTTGGTTAGATTGCAAGTGAACTAACTCAGTATGTACACCCATGTTTAGATGACCCTAGTTTTGAAGTTTCTGTGAAGAACATTCGGTTTTCCACAACATGGATGATGGTCATTATCAAGCTTAATTGCTGTAGAACAAGGATCATCGGCTACATCAAACAGAGAAGTATCATCGGCATATAGAAAATTGCTGCTTTGAAGATCACGCGTAATATCATTTATATAAATCAAAAAAAGCAAAGGGCCCAAAGCGGAACAGCGAGGAACGCCGGCTTCAATTTGCATCCAGTCCGATGACTGACAATCTATTATGACACGCTGCTTTCTTTCTGATAAATAACTTTTAATCCATTTAAGAAGAGGATCTCTTACTCTCAAAGATTCTAACCTACGGAGCAATCCTTTGTGCCAAACTTTATCAAAGGCCTTACTAATATCCAGCAAAATCATCCGAACCTCCTTGCCTTCTTCACGAGCCTCGTAAACTTTGTGTACAATGAAAACAAGCTGATTTACTGTCGAATCTCCAGGTCGAAAACCAGATTGAAAAGGATCTAGAAAATGAATCTCAAGCAAAAAATTATATAGCCTAATAAATACTATTTTCTCGCAAACTTTCGACAAAGACGATAATAAAAAAACGGGACGATAATTCTCTTTCGATTGGCGATTATCCTTTTTAAAAATTGGTATAGCATTTGCCAATTTCCAGCTAAGCGGAAATTTTCCGTTAGATAAGGATATATTAATATCGCCAATCAAATCGTCTGTTAGCTATATCCCACTTATATTCTAATAATAGTTTATACTGTTTACTTGTACACTTATTCAAAGTAATCATGTGATTTAAAGGTTTATTCCTTCCCGATAAACCGAAGAAAGTAAAACTATATAGTGAAACTGCAATCGTCCACAAAATATAATTTTTGAGAACTTTGAACTCATTCCCCCTCCCCTTATTTCAATGTTGAAAGGCTATTATATCTTTCAAAATGGAACATAACATGCTGCTCGCGTTTCGTTCGAGGTCATCTTGTGGCAAGTCTATCCCATTTGCAGTTGACGTTTAACATATAATGTTTGAATTAAACAATATTTTTGTACAAAACAACATTGAAATCGGGAGTGAGGTTTGTTTCAAATATTTTGTGGACGATTGTCGGTAATGTAAAGGTGCAAAGTGTTATTGGGTTACCCCAAAATACCCCATTTGGGTTCCCCCAAACACCACCTTGGGTATGCAAATGAGTAACGTCGAGGAAGCTGTATTTTTGTTTTAAATGCTCATGCATTCGGCCACTTGAGAGCGAAAAAATCATAGTTAAAAATATTTTAAAAGAAATATGGAGCAAAGATATTGTACCACATTTGCAAGCAAACTATACATGTAAACAAGGGCGAATTTCGTTTTTGACCAATCAGAGCATTTGTTTACCTTTTGGCGCTAAGCCAATCAGAACGCGTACATTGTTACTACTTCCGGTTTAGACGCGTATTTCAACACGAAAATTACGGTTGTACATAAAGCCTTGGGGGGGGGGGTCTGTTTTTTTAATTTTTTGGACTTATTTTAATGAAATCCTATAAATTTTAGTTTAGCTATATAATTTTAGTTACCAAGCTGGATCAGTATGTTGACAGTGCTTTCATACAAATTATTATTCTGATAAATATAATTAAATTATTGATCACGATAAATATTAGTTTAGGTTCATGCCAGGCAGGAAATAATAAAATATATCAGTTTCAAGAAGTTAGAATAAAAGCGCGAGATGAAAGTGAGATGTGAAAAAACTCAAATATCACCGCGTATAATTAACGTGTTAACTTGTTTTCGAACGCATCCGGAAATAATAGCGAAAAAAATTTAAAAACTGATTACAATTCCAAAGTCACCGGTTCTTGTTCACTTTATGAATGACTTCTCCCACACAGAAAGTATGAAGAAATTCTGTAATCTTAAGAAATTCGAGTGGTCGGTTTTTACACGGACTGCCTCTTAAATCGGCTATCGTCAGTTTCACTGGGTAACAATATACGGTAGGCATGCATGCTCAATCAAAAACAATTTGGTTGTTTGAAATTTTAATCTGTAAAGCACAATTGGAAATTTAAAAAGCAAAAATTTTTTCTGTTTGCAAAGCAAGAATTTCCCGCCAGATAAACGACATCCGGAACACCGGTTCATGCAGATACGCGGAAAATAGGGACCACGGTCCGGATATATATGGGTTTTTACGGACCGCTTCTCGACCAGTCAGAATAGAGAATTTTCAAAAGCCCTATAATAATAGAAATTACGTTAATGATTTATTAAAGTAAGCTTGTTGTCAAAGGTGAAATATACTTAACTATCTGAGGGATAACTATTTAAAAATTTATCTGCAGATACGAACTATTATAATAGTAAACCATGCATATATGAATGTGACTGTTGAAGCGGTCCTGCAATATAATGGCAAACTTAACATTATGAAAACAATAAAAATTTAAGCTATACATTTAGACTTTGCCCTCTGTTGTTGCCGAGTCGTACGTCTTATCATTGATGCTTATGTCTGCTGTAAACAAAGCTTTTAACTACTCTGCCATAAACAACAGTCGACATGTTCACACAATGGACTAATTACACTATAGTATCTCGTATATTTCTTTCGGGTTCCGATTGAGAAATATACAACTACCTGAAAAAGACATTTTCAGGCAGCTGTTTCTCTGGCAATGGAAACGTAGAGGTTTTGCTAGTATTTTCCATGTAGTTATAGTATTTATCTCAATCTGCTGATACAAAATATACTGAAATTCGAAAATAGAATGAAAATTGCTTTTCAGTTAGTCGAAGAGTTATTAAACAATGAATTTCGCCGTGTGAAAAATCTGAAAACCGCGCAAAAGAGACTGGGACGAAACATTGCGTGTGACGTAATAGTATAGGGACTCGTCTAGCTTACTAATATACAAATACTATTGCATGTACTATCATAGAGAAGGCAATAGCGCTTAAAGTCGCGGTACTGAAAAACTGCTAATCAGCGCGCGGCGCCATCCCTTTCTGACGTTATACGGCGAGGGGGGGGGGAGGTTATATACTGGAGACTTTCACTAAGGCCTTCCTATTGATTAATTCAGCTCCATCTGTTACAGTATATTTCAACATATTTCATTCAATGTTATTCCAATTGTTTCCGTTAATACTGTATTGACTGTATTAGTAGTGATAGTATTAGTATTATATTGTACATTAGCCTAACAATTAATTCCCCTCATGCATCATGGGACAAATGGACATTGGGTATCATTCTTTAAGAGAAATATTTTTTTACCCCTAGAATAATAAATATCCTGTTTTATCAACCACTCCCGCACCGATAACACAAACCTCACCAATTACAGGTAAGCTTCGTACGATGCCTATACTTTAAAAGCAACACAATACTATCAGGTTCTAGAAGCAAAAAACAATGGCGAAGCTAGCGGTCATACTAGTCATGCTTAGCATGCCAAAAAAATTCCAAAACCAATGAAAATATGCATTATACTTCTTGTCTTCTTGCAATAAATATGGCTTATAATAGATTTCGTATGAAATTCTGTATAACAGCCCTAGTTTACGGTGATTTTCGCCTTCAATAATATAAAACTCGATTTTCCGGCATCAAGCCTTGTGACGTCATAAGTATAAGGTCTATTAAGAGACGACAGGATCAAACTACCTGAATAATATAACAAAATGAAATGCAGTATTTGTTATATTTTCAAGTATCGTGATCATGTATTTCCTGAAATATAGTTTGAAATTTATAAGGATAACATTTTTTCACTGATGAGATTCGGAAGTACAGAAAATTTTGATGAAACAAAGAAAAATGGGTAACAAACATTGTAATTAATCTAAAGATTCTGCCCATTATCGTTTCCCTTCACTCCTCATAAAGATAAACTACACGATAAATATAATTTGCTCCTATAGGTCCAAGCTCATGCCAGGGAATAAAAGATATTGATTTGAATGAACATGATGGAGAGTATAACCTTTACTTGATGTTGCCAAAATGCAATCAATCTGCAAGGATCTATTGCGCAGATATGGATACTACAAATCCCAAAGAATATGTTACATTGCCAGCTGGAGGGAGCAATAACTTTGATCTTCAATACAATTTAATGGCGGAATACCGAAATGAAGAACAGTGGACATATTTTGGAAAGGTGTTTATTACTTAGCACAAGCATTCTGAATATCTTCTACATCATGAAATGGTGTACTCGTTGCAGCTCGTTCTGTAAACGTTGATTAATTAGCGTAAATGATAGCACCATTTTTTTGTTATGGAAACACTAAGTATATACACGCGACAAGTTTATTGAACCACCTGTGAAACTGTTGCGAGTAAATATTAACGATAGACGAGTGTATACTTGCTATTACCCTAACACAGAATGAAGTTACAACACTTCTGAGGACTTTTTAGTACTTTGTTGCTGGCGTAATTGTAGCAATGCCCACAAATTTAGAGTGGTTAGGTTTCTTGCAATTGTGCGCTTTTAACTACGTAAGGACATATATCGATAGGGAATGACATATATCGATACGACACATCGATATCGATAGCACTGTGGCTAGACACACTCTCTTGGTGTCCGATGTACCGAATATTGAAATCTCGAGGCTCCAAAATCTTATTTTCTGCGTTTTGGGGAAGATTTGCCTTACAGAAAGCAGGTCAACTAGTTCAGAATTTTGCATTTCAGCCAGCGAGGTATCTGACTCTTCCATAATGCGTAGTAAAACTACGCCTCCCCTTCCCCTAAATGTGCTTGGGGATATTGCTCATTTGTTGGGTATTCTCCTAAAATGTGTTCAGCAAAACATGCATGATTTTTACTTCCGTAAGGAAATAAATGAGTTACAGTGAAGTTATGCTTTTATCATAATTTGCCGGAAAGTAGTCCTCTTCAAGCAATTTGATTGGTTGCTTAGCGCGTCCAGATTTTCTTGCACTGTTCGAATTAAGTCGGACATGAACAAAATGGCTTCCCGTTTCGTTCCGGTTACCGACGAGCAAATTTTAATTAAACGATGCTGTGGTTTCGCCAAACACGAACAAAGTCACAAAATTTTGTTGAACATGCAGTGTCAGCAGGCCTTCTTTATTTTATTTTATTTTATTTTATTTTATTTTATTTTATTTTATTTTATTTTATTTTATTTTATTTTATTTTATTTTATTTTATTTTATTTTATTTTATTTTATTTTATTTTATTTTATTTTATTTTATTTTATTTTATTTTATTTTACAGATTTTGCCATTTAACACAAACTATTACACAAAATTAGTTACACAATAGATTACATGGCTGGAATTACCACACAGAGATTAGTTCTCCAATAACGAGGTTCCAAGACATTCGAAATACACAGTATGAACAATAACAGCTTGCAGACCGACAAACAAACAGACAGACGTGAAGAACAACAAACAAGCACAACGAATTACAATCAACGACTTACAATTTTTGTGACAATAAATTTAACAACAAGCTCGATTCGATAAGTTAGTCACACACAAACAAACTTAAATGTTCTCGGATCCTCAGGTGAGATCCTTATAATGTTGCATTAAAAAAAATTGGAAAGAGACCACGGTTTTGTTGGATTCTCTGATCAAACAGGGGAGTGTATTCCACACGTTGGCAACTCTGACGTAGAAGCTGTTTTGGTAGCTCACTGTCTTGCACTTGGCTACTTCAAGTAAGATACCATTGGTTGCATTAGTACTTCGTGTTTCTCGAGTAGGAATCTTGATAGAAATGTTACTGTCAGAGTTGGAAATGATGCACTTGTAGAGATACACTTGATCTAGACACTCATGGCAGTAACATATAGGGATGATGCCGATGGTGGTCAGTCTTTCCTGGTATGATATATCGGTTTGGTACGGCAATGACAAAATAAATTTGGTGGCACGTAGCTGCACACGTTCAACGGTCAAGATGTTGTTTACCGTCTGGGGTGCCCATACCTGACTACCATAAGCCAGTTGACTACGAACCATAGTCAAATAAAGTACCTTACGAACTCTACGCTGGCGAATGTCGAAAGCCGTTCGCTTTACGAAACCTAACATTTTATTTGCTTTGGTCTTTAAAACTATTTGCAATGAATAAAATTACAAAATTACCAAAAGCATGCAAATACTTTTTTGTTTACTGATTGCAATTTTACGGGAGCTTTTAAAGATATTTTTGCTGCTCAATGCTTCGCCTCTTGGGGAATATCCTTACAATAGTTGTTAAATATTGTTTACTTAAAGGGAACTTTACGTGGTGCGTGTACAAAACTCAATTCTCGGGGAAGGGAGGGGGGGGGGGTCACAAAGAGGGACTTTGGGACATTTTTCCACGGTCCACGGAGTATTTATTTTAGAAGAGGCCCTGGCATACTTCAGCTAAACGCTGGATTCCCTCCATATTAAACTTTTTTTTATTTAATTTTTCTCTTTATTTACTTTTAGATTCGTCTTAATGTCAATGACATGTCAGTAGATACAACTGACTTCAGGTTCGCTACAGCAGGCGCAGCAAACGTGTTTCATCGCTTTGGAAGTGCTGGGGACTGTCTTTCAATGAATTGTTCCGTAGATCACAGAAAAGGAAATTTCAAAGTTGGTATAAGTGGTACAAATTTTCTCTTACCAAAGGCCATTCCTTATTTGTATATAGGTTATCCAGAATGTGTTAGAGGTGTACACAAGACATCGATGAGCTCTGATCGTAGACAGTGGTCGGGATACTGCGGGGGATTTTGCGAAAACTGCTGGCCTACTAAACCATTTCTTCTTCTGGTTAAAGGATGTTAATTTAATAAAGTACTTTAATTAAGGAACACGAGGTTTTCAATGTTTCAATAACTTATATGTAAATGTTGAAATAGCTCATACCCATTGCATTCTTCGAATTAAAAAGATTACTTCAGAAGTAGCTACGTAAGTACATAGCTAGTGCATATCGATATACAATTAAAGCAACAGTCAAGTTCGTTTCGCGCATGTATAGTTTATACATTTTTGTGGTTTGAAACACATTGGTATAATCTTACAGGTAGCTCTATCAGGAATAAATCATGTATATTTTGAACGAGTACATGGAAAACTTAATATTTTGAATCTTAATTAAAAGTTTTATAAGCAAGATAACACGTCGATCCAGTGGACTAAAGTAAACCCATTTGGTCTTTGCTCTGAAAGCACATCGTCATTTATATATTTCGCTCAACTGGCGAGATTGCTCGAAATGTGGTAAAAATTTCGTACCAATACTGGTCGGTGCTGTCACTCAAAATCTCACTTTGAAATTTGTTGTTTGGGATCTCAATTTTATCTTTCGCGGCGATGTATTCTGAATGCGTAATGAGCTAATGTGTGGGGCCCATAGATCGGAAAATTAATTGAATTATCTAAAAATACGTATAATGCAAGCTGTGAATTGGTATACATAATGATTATAGCTATAAAACTTTAACTTAAATGTAGATTGCTTTCGTGTAATGTTGTAATATAGAAATTGTGGTATTCAAGCAGATGTTAATGGGGAAAATAAGTGTATATGCACATTTGATTGCGCACATATAATAAAATGAAAATAAAAAATGCTATTGGACAATTATTGTTTGATATGAAAAGCTTTCTACTTTATTTTACATCTTTTACCTAAACATAATCCACATGATGCGAAATATAAATGGACACTATATAAGGATTCTACACAAGACACAACTATTATAACCTGAAGTAAGATTGTTAATTTAGGCCATGTGCATGTCAGCACATGACCATGACCATAATTAGTTGTCAATTTATTTATCGTGAGTTAAATTAAATTTCAAAAAAAATTTTAAAACTTGAAATATATAAAATTGCTAAATATAAAATTTGTGGGTTACCGATGAAAATAATTATAATAATTCAATTTGTAAAACTCGCTGAAAGATTGTACGTAGGCGCAGAAAGAGTTTTCATCCAGCGAAATCGAGTGGCAATGTTGTTTTTACTGTTTTAATTTTGTCAACTGTTCGATTAATTTGAGTACAAAACCTCTAAGGTTGAAGCTAATTAAATCATGCATGCCGTTTACTCAATCTATGAGCTGTAACAGGCGGACGTGAATTTTGTTTGGCACTCAAAACGAAGGATTATTCAACGCTCTTTTTCATTATAAACCTTTCAGAAATAGCATCTAAAGGGCCGGTCAATTTTTGTCAGTTTTATTTTGATCGTGTGAGTGCGTGGGATAGCCCACGTACTGTGCCCGCAAACATCCCGCATGCTACTGTAAGGAGCCATCTTAAGCTCCCATTAATGCAACGCACTTAAAAATTGAAAGAGAACTGATACTCCGAAGGCTTACAGGAAGTGCATTCCAGAGTGTTGGCGCAGTCACACTAAAAGATCTGTCCCCGAATGATTTTAACATCTTCCCCGCTGGATGTAAGATGATAATACCCGAATTGTAACGGAGCGAGTAACGTTCATGTTTCCTTATCTTAATAAGTTCCCTGATATAATCTGGCGCCAAGCCGTTTAAGCTTGACGAAACTCGAAGTTTCGAGCGAAGGCCCTCCGTCAAGAAGGCCCTTCGACGTTTCGGGCGAAGGCCCTTCGACGTTTCACTCATGGCCAGAAATTCAAGACATTTGCACTGAGCATGTGCAAACTTTAAAAAACAAAATGACCGAAACGCTACTATAGAATAGTATAGGGGAGCGCCATTTTTTGTAAATATATGGCGTTCAATGGCTGTTACAAAATTTGCCTCACTATTTTTGAAAATAACAAAACATTTGTAGTCTAATAAGATGAATATCATGTCATATTATTACCTCCTAGTACGTCCATTTCTTTACCCGTATCGAACAGACCTGGCTCCTATGAACTGTATACAATGTGCCCAATTTCAGTGAAAATGGCCAGTTTCGTTCAAAATTTTACGACCCGTTTCATTTCTTGTCAAATTTGCCTCACTTCCCTCATAAACTTCACATCGTCAAGTATTCCGTCTGTTATTTTCGAAGTGATCTGATATATTTTAGACCGTCCATTTTTGCCGAGAAATGCAGTAGAAATTGACAAGTGAATTATCCACAAACGATAATTTCCATATGTGAGCGAAGACGCGATAAACATGTAAAAACAACGTCTATCCTTTTCATATAGCCTGCCATATTTGATATCAAAACAAAGTCCAGAATGTGGGATTTTATGACCAATGATGATTACTATGAGTTCCCATAAACGTTGAAAACCACGAAAATTAACTTATAGACACGACGCAATATACGCGAATATAGGTTTATATCGACGTCTGATTAAAACACGCGTCAGAGCCATGTTTTCTTTTGAATATATTGTGCCTTTTTGGTATCAACAAGAAGCTCAGGAACCAGGCTTAAACGTATCTTAAAACAATGTGCAAAAGAACTGTCGACATCATTATGTGATCTGTTCAATAAGTCATTTCATTCGGGCATATTACCAACGGATTGGAAGATTGCAAATATAACTCCAATTCACAAAACAGGACCTAAGCACAACAAAGAAAATTACAGGCAGATCTCCCTGACGTCGATAGTTTGTAAAGTGGCAGAAAAAATAATAAGATCAAGAGTGATGGTATTCCGGACGGAACATCACCTATTAAATCAAAATTAGTTTGGATATTTGAATGGAAAGTCTACGACAGCACAACTTTTAAGTGGTTGCAATGATTGGTGTGCATCAAGAAATTCCGCTAAAGCAACAGATGTCGTATTTTTGGATTTGTCGAAGGCATTTGACAGTGTATCTCATTAACGCTTAGTACTAAAATTGAACAGGTTCGGCATAGATGGGAAACTACTTTCATGGTTACGAAATTTTCTAAATGAAAGACAACAGAGAGTGTGTATACGCGGCTCCTTCTCGAAGTAGTTTGTCAAAAGTACTCTTTTTTCGTTAGAGTAATTAAACTGTGGAATGATTTGCCAGGCATTGTGGTAAATTGCGGTAACGAGCCTCATATAATATACACTTAATGTCTGCACCCGAGGAAAATAGTTAGTTTTGTTTTCCCGAGAATCTCAATGTTTCCCGAGACGAAGTCAAGGGAAACATTGAGATTCGAGGGAAAACAAAACTAACTATTTCCCGAGAGAAAAGACGTTAAGTGTTTTGTTATATAGCGACGAAACAAATATCAACATTGAACAACATTCATACAACAATATTTGTATTTCATGACAAAAACTCTATAGCGTAAACGAGTTTAAAATTTAAAAAACCTACTTAAATGGTTTCAGCAGCGTATCCTGTTGCCTGTTATGTATTTTTCTTCTCTTTTACATTCTTTATTTTAACACAAAGCCACGAAAACAGTAGTTTAAATAGTATAAATTTGTGCCGTCATTTTGTTTATTTATGTACGTAGCCGGTCGGGGCGGGCAACAATTTTTCACTTATTGCCCGGGCGGGATACATTGCATTTATCTAAAGCCAAGTGACTACAAACCAGCCAATCACGTTTGGTGTTCACACTAGCTATATAACAAGAACATTTAAAGCAATGCTCAAGAAGTATATGAACATTTATTAAGATTGGTATTAAGTTCGTAAGATTGGTATTAAGTATGTATTATTGTACATATTTTAGAACTTTTTATACTAGATTAGATTCAAATACGGTGACCTGAATATCGGGATAACCTCAAGGTCTACCTTTTTCAAATACAAGTGTATTATTTATTGTTATTTGAAATAAAGTATTATTATTATTATTATTAATACGGAAGGACAAGAGGGGAAATTTATGTATCCAGAGGGGAGAATGTGCTGCTTTTGACCAAATATACGGCTAAGTATCCCGATCTCGCTACTTACAAAGCGAATTAGATCATATTACAATGCTATTTCGTGCAATATAAATACTAAGAAACATAAGATCTTTATCATATCTTAGTTGTAATTTACGAACGAATGAGAGCCATAGCTTGAATAAATGTCTCAGTGAATATGCGAACTATATAGCTACGTGTAAAAATACTATTTTAAAACAATATCATTTGAATAATTTGAGCAATATTTCTGTCTGGCTTCGCCTTGCTTGAATTAGATTTGATTTAAATTAGTTAAACCAAGTACCCCTCAAGTAGCCCTGTACAAGGAAGGCGCATGTCCCGCATTTCTGGCCATGTGCTCTTTGATCTCTTCAGCTGAAGAATTTCCTGTGTTTGCCAACACTTCGAGCGAAGGCCCTTCGACGTTTCGAGCGAAGGCCCTTCGCTCGAAACGTCGAGTTTCTGCTTATTTTTAAGGTATAAATATAACCAGTCAGCACAGCATTTTCACATTGGTACTACCCACACTGGTACAGACAGTCACTTTAGTATACAAAAAAAGTAATTTTGAGAGGCGCCAAAGAGATTTTAGGTTTCAAATGGGCGTAAAATAACTTCTTGACAGAGGCCGATCGAACTCCCGGGTTGCCATAATTTCAAGATAAGGGGCCTAAGCAAAAGCGGAATAATAAACAATTATTGAATGAGGTTGAGCATGATATCGGGAATTATAAAGGACGAGGTCTGTGTTATCCACGTCAGCCTTCGGCTTCGGTGTATGACACAAACCGAGGCCTTGATAATTCTCGATATCATGCGAAAACCGAATCCAATAATTGTTTTATCATATGTTCAAAAACAAGAAGCAAAGAACAACACAGTGGAATAGATAAAGGTTTAATGCAAAAATAATGAAACGTTCGTTCCATGCAACAACATTTTTAAAACAATTAAAGACAGTAATCAGTTTTTTAAATTTGTGAAAATCAATTA